GATTTCTCCCTGTCTCTCCTCCTCACCTTCTTCTCTCTACGCTTTCACGCGCGTTTGCTTCTCTTATTCGCACAAGTTTCCCACAATGCACGCGCGATAAGCCGATTTTATCTTCGCTACATATTGAGGCTTTTGTGCCTTCGGAACAACGATATTGCAATTAAGCCGCGTATCATCAAAAGTTCACTCAATTATTCTAGAACCTTTGTGTATATTGTTGGTAATTGCATGTTGGTAATGCTTATTGATTGATGTTTCATGCATTCGAAAATTTTTCTCTTTATAGTTGCTATAAATAAAGTTATTGATTTAAATATTCTCACCTTTTTTTTTCAAAAAAGTTTAAAAAGCTATTTTCTAGAAAAAATATATTAGTATTTAATGTGAATAATTTAGATAAAAATTGATGAAAATTCTGTTTCTAATTTAATTAAACGAATGTAATGAACCTTCTACATCAATGTAATAATGTACATAAAAATTATTCAATTAAAGATTATGAAACGTAACTTATTAAAAAGATCTGTTGAGTCAGCTAAATAATACTATACTTTCACGGATCATGCTGCTCTTTTTAAGTAATTACATGTTCGCATTGTGCAATGTAGGTGGTTCACCTCGATCGATAGTTACCTCGTGATACCGCGCTTGATCGAGAGTTACGAGTCACGATTCTCGGTGGGTAAATCCAGGCCGCATTCGTAAATTTTGCGCGCAGCTCGGGCGGATATAACGATTTTCAGGGAAATTATGATTTCGCATTTCGTCGACAAATCGACGCTTTTGATAAATCAGTCAATAACTCGTAAAATGCTCTGTTTCTTTCAGTCCGTTGCATAATAGGAAATTCTCCAATAAAACACTCTTCCTTCCTGAGTTATGAAGAATACTCGAAACTATTTTCCTCAAATCTTTTATTTAACAATGAGTAGGAAGAACAACTCTGACAAATAAATCTTATTATAAAAGCGATCTTAAAATAGGTCGCCAAGCTTTAGGAGTGCACTCTTTGACAGATTTTTTTCTTTAAGAAAAGTTTAATTGGACTCTACAGTTTTTTCATAACTTTTTAATTTTTAGCATTAAATATTCTCGAAGTCCACTTGATACTAAATCAAAAATAAAACTTTGTTATTTATCATTAATCCGAAAATATTTTTCGCGTAAAGTCTTTTTTATTTCCACTTACTTTTAATTCGTAAATTATTGACATTTGATTATTTTTATCAAAATAAAAATTTATACGGTTATTTAAAAAGATAAAATATGTTATTCAGTAATTTAATTTACTTGTATCAAGAGGAACACTTTTATCTTTTTTACAATAACCCAATTTCAAAAATAGTTATTTTTATACAAATTGAGTGAACCTGATAAATTGTACTGTATTATTGAATTATTTTATTCTAAATATGTCTTGACTCAGAAATACCTGACACACATGTACAAGATACATGTACGTTCAAACACAGAGAATATTATTTTATTATTTCATATTAATAAATCACTTCCTCTCCTTGAATTCTGACGTTAACAGCATTTCTAAATCAATGCTCCATTTGTTTCTTACGTTCCATCTTGATCTTCCTTGAAGGACTCGCAGCCGAGTACCGTACGTCCCTTTCGTTTCATAGTGCCAGCAATCAGGACGGTTGTAAGACGCTCCTTCCGCCTTTTAATTAACGCGCCAGCCGTTTTCGGTACTGCTTTAATTAACCGAGTGAACTTCTCTAGAGGGCGACCGAGTTTCAAGAATTAATAAGCGCGAGTGTAATGTTTACAGGTAGCATAATAATTAATTTCTACGGTGACTAAATTTTGCGACATTGTCGAATGCGTTGCGAAACGTTATTCAAACAAGGGATATTAATTTGTTGAATATATTTGTCGTTAATGATATCCGATATATTATTCTAATTGAGGAGTTTATTTTGAAACAAGGACAGTACGCATGTACAAGCTCTTTACAATTTTAATACCGAATAATATCCATTTTCTAAAAGTATTAAAACGGTTTGAGAGAGAATAAACGCACTTTAATTAAAAATCGGACGTACAAATTAGACGCCAAATGTCAGAAATTGAAAAGTATTATAATAAATATTTATTCTTTCATTATGTTAAATAATGCTTTATGGATAATGATATTTCTCATGTGGGCTGTAAATGATACGCTACAGCGCTGTTGTCCCACTTTGGGATATAGGGCGATAAATTTATTCATATTATTTAATAAATAATGTTATGAAAACATGGTCTCGTATTGTCTTCGATTATTAATGAATAGCGGTAAATTATCATCGAACTCTCTTCATTAAATGTTCAATAGTCTTTTTATGCATATAACGATTTTACTTGCATATTATGTGTTGATTATAATTCACTGATTAAATTGTAAATACATCTGTGAGGAGAGCGCAATACAAATCGCTCGGGGAAGAAAGAACCAACCTGAAATCTACGTGTATGAGTTGACGTGTACAAACTACATTTATCGGTAACGATCGCTCCCGTTCGTTAATTAAACATTCCGCGATGTTAATTCTCAACCTCAGTCAAGTTTGAAACTCCGCAACGAAATAAAAAACCTCGCAATTATATTGAAGTATTTTGTGTTTAATTTACCAAGAAATCAGTAGCGTTCTACGCCACTTGAGGCACATTTGTAACTTTACGATCATCGTGGAAAGACGCGGAAAATCGGCGAACGAAGAAAAGGATGCACGGCGAAATTTTCTAAAGACCTCCGCGCAAAATTGGCTGGTATCTGGGTTAAGTCGGATCCAGGTATATTTTCTTATTCATGTGCGTGCTCGTCGAATAATCCGGCATAATCTGTCACGAAATCGCTAAGCCTCGAGTAGCTCGAGCTTACGTGACGTCTCGAAAGCGTCTCAACGAGAGATGGCCGCGATATTAAATCCCAGCACAGGTGTATTTTATTCCACCGCGCGGTATACCGAAGGTATTTCTCGTGTACTTTAGATTCGACTCCGGAATGCTCATATATTTCCGTCGATGTTTTGGTTTTTAATATTGAGAATCTTGATGCCGGGACGTATTAATATCGATCCGATCGTTATCGCTTTCACTTTCCCGCCGCGCCGTACTTTCATATCACGTTGCTCCACACATTAAACTCATCACGTTATTTACGGACGGGGAGCGCCGTCATTCGTTTTCCACCGGTAAATTTACTCGCGCTCGCGTAATTTCGCGACGCTCTCATTTTGTGCGCGAACTCTGCGGCTCGCGCTGCGGAAGTTTTACGGGTATTCAAGACGAACGCGTGTCTCCTCATATTTATGACAAGCACCTTAATGCCCGGGCACGATGTGCCGACACGAACCCCCTGCTACGGGGACTTTCAGCGACTTACTCCTCTCGTTATACCGCCCGAAAGATAATTCTCGTCTTAAAGTGACGCATTATACCCCGCGACGTGTTTAACGATGCGCCTTATACTCGTTTCGTTCCGGAGACGGCTCGTTGCGCGCTCCGCCCTACAAAAGGTTGCTTAGAAAGGAGCTAAGTGCGCTTGTCGTGCTTTCGATGGTAGTAAAAATTTTTAACAAAGTATTCTTCATATAATTTAAAACCGCTCTCTTTTCCGCTAATTCAACAACGGGAAAGTTAGCAAAAAAAGAAAGCGATATTTCGTCATGTATTTTTTCGCATACTTCTACATTTCTATTCATGATACTTGTATAAATCGAGACACGAGAGGGTGTTCTTTAATTATATTTTCTCAGAAATATTTCAACCTTAATTTTATGTCAGTTCTTCGTTGATTGCTTTAAAAATTCAAATTTTTCTCAATATATCGCTATACCAGTTAAGAGTGTTTCAAAAGTAACTGAAAGTATAATAGTAAAAGTTTGACTCAAATCTCATGATATGCATATCTTTTTGATGGGCGCAATTATATTCGCAAGGGTTACTGCGTCAACCCTTTCTGCAAAACCTCGCGAACGAAAGTTGCGCTACCTCCAAGGATTTATTCGCCAGGGATGTGCTCAACAATGAACGTTCTTAAACTACTGTTAAAAGTCGTACTTACTTTTATACCACTCGCGAATGAAACTTTATAGTCTCGTCCGCAATTTATTCGTTCACAAAGCAACTTGGCAGTCAACTTATTTAGAATTTAGCATTCGACTCTGCGTAAAGTAAGAAGTTAAAAGTTTAAATGAGAATATATGTTAAATAGTCGCCTTCTTTTCGCCTTCGTTTCGTTTGAATTACGACGGTTTTATAGAACGCCAAATGCGGAAAGGGGAGATAAGATCTCGCGTCATTCAAAGCAGATAGGCTCGAAAATTAATTCCTTCGTGGGAATATTCATATAGGAGAATATATCGGTAGGAAATTACGAGTATCTCTCTCATAAGTCTAGACGAAAATGAATTTCCGAGATCGACTGTCAATGTCGCTGTCAGTCACGCGTCCCGGCTTCCTTCCTCCCGTCGAAAAACGAATGGCGTATACGAGAAATTCATTTGAAACGCGGCAAGAGACAAATTGGTAGAAAAGAACGAAATATTGAAAACGTCGTTCACGCCAAAATACATTCTCCGACTTTGCAATTTTCTCTCACGTCGTGAAACTAATATTGCGATGTGAATAAAAAGGAAGAAAATCAAATTTTAACTCACACTTTGCAATCTATGTATATAATTATTTTCTTTTTACTTATATTTTGCATAAATATGAAATCAGCCATTATTTTATAAACACCGAAACAATGTATATTTTCTGTTTCGGACTGATACACGCACTAAGATTAATTGCGTAAATAGAAGCGATTATTAGCATTTTTCTGACATAAAACTGGCACCGACGGTTAAGAACCATGCACCACGCAATGAACGCATACGTCGCGCAAAAAAACGCATGCGACGCCGATCATTCTAAAATCGATTCTCGATGTTGCTGACCCTCGTGCGCCCACACGTGGTCGAACTTGGGCCAACGCACGCTATTGGACTGCCATTTTAAAGAAGGCCGGAGCAACGGCAAACAGGCGACTCCACGGCGCTTTGGTCACCTTCACCAGCCCAGAGTCCCACCTGGTAAGCCTCAGTATCCAAAAGCTTGAAAAAAAAAAATCAGCAAGTGAAAGAGATGAAGCTGAGAGCTCAGCTCGCGAGCTCTCGTTTGGCCCGGACACGCACCTGTATATACCTAATTGGCTAACTTTCACGCGAGAACTTAGCTTCTTAGAGAGGAGTGGTCACCAGAGCACCTTCTTCTTCTTCTTTTTCTTCTTCTTTTTCTTCCTCTTCTTCTTTTTTCTTCTTCTTTTCTTCTTCCTGTGATCGATCTTCAAAAAGATGCTGAATAGTGACTGAAATATAGAAAGATGAAAATGTTCAAATATATTTCAAGATTTTCTTCGGAAATACATATGTATAGACGTGTGATGTCACAATATAAGATTAAGAGAATTTCTTGTTATTGAATTTCTTGTGGCATGTTGCTGATTCGTAGATAAAACAAAAATACCAAACGTGCACGATACTGTTTCTTATGACGATAATAATGGTTTCAAGAAAACCGTGTTTTCTCTACGAAAGAAACTTGTACAATATTGCTCGGTTTAAAAATACTACAAAAATACTTATACGAGTAACGTATAAATTTTGCAATTCACGAATCGAAAAAGTAACAATTTTTTGCTACGTACAATAAAAAATTTTTAATAACTTAATTATGCTAGATTTTATGAATCGTTCATTTTAATTGTGTTAAATTCATAGTGTAATAATTTGATAAAATAAAATAATAATAGATAAATGACAATAAAAAATGATAGGAAAATTAGGCAAATTAATGAAATTAAATTTAAAAAGTAGGTATATGTATTTATATTATACAATATATTATTGCAATTGCTACGTTTATAATTATTCGCTATCAATATATTATGAATTAGTAATTCAGTTATTAATATACGGATATTGTGAGTCTCGTATACATATAATTTTAGAAAGTCACGTAGGATATTGGAACGATTGAATGTTTCAATATTTGAATGCATCTATCCTATTTATTGATACGACTCTCATCCTACGTCCAACTTTATTATTTCTATTTCTGCTATTCTCTTTTCTCTTCTCTTTATTTCTATCAAAAAGACACGCAGCTTGTGAAAAGGATGATTGATACGACACAGAATCTTTTGCTGAGTTTGTGAAAATCTTTAAGACAACAGAGAGAAAAAACGAGAGAGATACTTTGAATCGCTATTATATATTACATCTATAAACAATAAGATATTTAATAGCTAGCTGCTACGAACGTATATGAATACATAATTTCAAAATGTGAATACATAATTTCAAGTGTTGAATCTTGAATTATAATTAACAGCGTATTCTGTTAAACATTCAATTTTTCCTTTAATCGTCGTATCGAGATAATCCTTTTCATGAGCTCTTTCTTGAGAATGGTTAGGAGATCAGCCACAATATGTACATAGCTCACGCGTGAATATAATATACGCACATAACACTTAAGCTAGCTCTATAGGTACACCACTGGTCATTGCACATGCACGCAACAATCTACGTTCCTCTTACCATCATCTCTGTCATCAACGTGATCTATAATATTTTTGCACGCGTATGATACGATCTGATTCGGAGCTAGACTGAATTTTTTTGTTATTTCTCGAAAGAAAAAGAAATATTGTTATTTCCTTTTTTAAAGAAAGAAGTAAAGATTGCAATAAAAGTATTTTCCGCACGAATTTATACATTAATTGTCGATCGCGACTCGAATCAATTTTATCTACTTTGAAATGACTGTGAGCGCGATTCATAAAATTGAATTTCTCGGAGAGTATGATTAACATTTAACAGATTAAAGCTCGTTCTGGTTTTAACCGATCGGTAATGAATAGCGGATCATTTCATCGAATCATCCTCTCTGCCTCACGGAATGAGTGATCAATGAGCGTCTGACAATTGCCTTTAGCTCGAGCACCAAGCTGCATGAGGAAAGGAGAACGAACGAAATGCACCCGCCTGCATGTTGACGCCAAAAATTACGTCTAATTGTATTTTCAGGACGAAAGAGCAGATCGACGTCGATTGGCCCCCCCACTGTTACCGGTTATGCTGAAATATATTTGTTTTACGAAAAACATACACTAAGAAGCAGATTGAATTGAGTCGAGTCTTTTAAAATTATAAGATTTAATATTACAAATCTTAAAATGTTTATCTTAAAATTTGTAACATAATAAATTGTTACAGACTTTATAGTTGTTACGTTTATTCGTAATTGAATTAATCTTTACGTAATTATTAAATTAATTTTTGTCTAAATATATAATAAAACAGACATATTTTTTAAAACCATAGATTTAAATATGTACAATTATAAAAAAATTGTCTACATCACGTTTATTCGATACGCTTTATAATTGCAATGCATATAATTTACATTGTAGCATAATAAAATTTAATAAAGTTAATATGCAATATAATAATGAATAATGTAATTATAATAAAAATTGGAAAACACTTGGATATTAAGTACAAACGTGTAGACATTTTCTTTTCTATTGTTATATTTATAATCGCGAGATAAAAATAATCTGTAATAAATTATATAGACCAAGCATATAGACAAAAGATATTTAATACATATATTATCATCGATTATATTATTAAAATATATATATAAGTGGATGTAAAAATATTAATTAAATTAAAGGTTTCTACAGTTCATGGAATTTACTCCATTATCTAACAACGTTGTTAGAAACTTCGAATCTGCTTCTAACTAAGTTACACAAATATATCATACTGTGTCTACAGTATTAATCACTGTATCAGCATTACTCGGCAACAATGGGAAAAACGCGTTATATTATTAATATAATAATGTCTATCGAAAAGATACGGAAAGAGAGAGAGAAAAAAATATGAAGTGTGTATGTGTATGAGAGAGAGAGAGAGATGTTTCAAAAATCGATCGAAATATACCATAATCAATAATAAATTCCAGAATCAGTCTCAGCCCGTCTCACAGTCGTTTCACACGATGCAGACACGCAACATACACATACGTAACATGATCGTGTACACGTCCCACTTTGTTTCTCCCATCCCTCGCGAGTGAGATCGCCCTAAATTCTCGTCTATTTAGCCTCGTCGTATATGTATGCCGCGCACACTAACCACGACACCAATATCGTAACTCTTGCGCAGCTGCAACACGGTGGGGCTCTGGGTAAGAAAACACTTGGAATAACTTTGAATATATATTTTTCGATTACTCCGTGCCAAAAGTTCCTTCACCCCACCTCATTCCGGCAACAACCCCCAGGGTACTCGTCTCTTGCCCTATCTTTTTTCTCTTTGAGATTTCTTCTTGAACTTATGAGATTATATTATACACGTTTCTTTTATCAATATATCTTTGAGCTGCGAGTGGACCTTCTTTTTAAACCTGAATCGAACATGTTTATTTATTTACTTAAGTATCGATACAATTGGCAAATTTCTTTACCAATATTTGATTCTTCCAATCCTTTTTACACTTAATAAATTTTGACTTATACTTATCTCAAATTTATTTTAAACAATTCTTAATTGAGAATTAAATTTAGGATCTTATCCATAATTTTACATATCATATTGTAACCATAATAATCATGCACAAGAAAATAATGTTACATTACTTGTGAATTATAACTATATGATACATGTAATTACATGACTGCACACATGTGCTGATTTAGATTACTTCTCATAGATTTTATATCTAAGTCTGATTCCATCATCTTCTGTATTATACGACATATCAAAATTATATTACATATATACACAGTCAAAAATTTAATGTCCCAGAAAGTTCACTCTAAATTTTGTGTTAAAATAACTCATGCATTGTGTTATTTTTTACAGTTAGAAATGTTATTTTAGTCGATATAACATTTCTAAATGTAAAAAATAACACAATGCATGAGTTATTTTAACACAAAATTTAGAGTGGACTTTCTGGGACATTAAATTTTTTACAGTGTATAGTTCTGTTCTAAACTTTGCCGTAATTTATAGATCGCTTAAAACGAGCTTTATGCCGAAATATGACATAATTCCTGCTTCTCTTGGCCAATATTCAAATGTGTGTTAAAAAGTGTTAAAAGAAATCCTTGTGCTCCCAAGTTTTAGGAGAAGTCCCGTTTTTTTCCTTCGACTCATTCTTCTCGAGTTGTCTACGATGTATTTCAGGATTCTTGATCGCTCGCGAGGACCTGCTCTTCATCGTCGATGGAGCTTGCAGGTGAGAGATCATTTAATCGATCTTTTGAGGCGGGATACGAGCCCCGAGCGTAAACACTTGACTTTTAACAAAGCCACCGTGTTACGGAGCACGACACAGTTACTGCGGTTGTAAGCCGGGCTATAACGTTTCGCGCATCAGACTTGGAGTAGCTTGCAGGAAGCAGCTTGCGGTTTCTGAACTCTGGATAGCTTTGCTCGAAGCTCGACAGGCAAACACAGAACGTGAATTAATATGTACAAAGGCTGTCATGTGTGACGTTTAAAATAGCGGATAATTGAACCGCCAATCGCGTATATCGTTATCCTGATTATCGTTATGAATTAGTACATGTTATATCAAAGTGTAACATTTATTGCCTGCATTCCGCGTACGTCATTTTGATCAGTTACCTTTAATTACTATTCGGACCGCTCTGTCCACGAGCAGTCGGAATAATTCCATAATTTAATTTACAATTTCAAAAAAAGAAGTTCAATATCTGTCGCATTATCTGAAGAGGTTGTAATGCTGTATGAGTCATGAGCTATATTGTCCTACCGTGAGATTCTCCTGATAAAAATTGCGATGCATCTTTAATAACCTACGAGCAATTAACATATGATGAAAGTGGCACAGTTAGCTAGTCCGGCATAATTAACTTCGCAATGTACACGACTAGGACGAAATAACTCGACATATAATCGGACGAGCGCGACGATTAGTTTAGATGAGTACGCCAGACGATCCACGTTGACGTAGTTGGGGAAACTAATCAGCCAACCTACGCGTATAT